CATTATCTTTGGCATCGCTGAAGTCATAATAGGCACAAACTTTGTGTCTAGGGAATACTTTATTGTCATTATGAACATAGTGATGGAGTTGAGTAACATGGAACGTAGGATGTATCCTACGCGCCTTAAGCTCAGGTGGTAAGTCCAGAGTGTATCTGGACTCGTTAGGGTGACTCTTAGTCACTTTTTATGGGCCAATAAACTTTGGCATTAATTTTCGCACTTTACTCTTTGGTAGCATGATATTCTCGGTTGACAAGATACCTTGTCCCCTATAGCGAAAGGCGTTTCAGGCCTTCACCTTTTGTTAGCCTGATGAGTTTGTCTCACTCGACTCTTGATAATGGCATCATGTGCCATCTCTAGATTGCTTATCACCTGGTTTATGAATATTTGTACTCTAGGTTTAGCCTTTTCAGTGAGAGATATCCCACCTATGATCATAGGCATATGACCATAATTTAGCTCAAAGGGAGCAAATCCCAAAGAGCTACTGATGTTCAAGTTTATTGCAAACTCAGTCATTGGTATTTTCTCAACCCAATCAGTCTGGTCGGGTTGGATCATGGTCTATAGGATCTGTCCTACAGATCAATTTGCACGATCTAATGCTCCATCCATTTGAGGGTGGAACACTGTAGACATCAATAATTTGGTGCCTAATATTCTGTGCATTTCCTTCCAAAATTTGGAAGTAAACTTGGAATCGCGATCAGATACAATTGTGTCTGGTAGTCCATGCAAACGAACTACCTCTTTCACATAAATTGACACAAGCTCAGATGCTTTAACTGTCGTATTTACAGGTATCAGATGGACCATAGAGGTCAATCTACAAATGACTACCCACAGGTAGTCATGTCCATGTGATTTAGGGAATGGACCAATAAAATCCATTCCTATTGATCCCCAAGGACGGTTGGGGATTGGTAGTGGGTGCAAAATACCAACAGGTCTTTGCATACTCATTTTATTGGCCTGGCAAATACTGCATGAGTCGCGGTATTTATTTACCTCTTGGGTAATTCTAGGCCACCAATACCAGCAGCGGATATAATCTGCCATCTTTTGTGCACTGAAGTGCCCAAGGATCATATGTCCTTGTTCAATGATTATACCTGTGAGGCTATATTCCTTCATGATCACATGAGGGATGCAAAGGACTTTGTCCTTTCCATGGTTTCAAGTATAGAGAAGTCCTTCTCTATATTCAAATGTTGAGTATTGTGGCTTTTTAGTCACTACTTTTGAGAATAGCGGGTCTTTCACGTACCCTGCGCGAATGCACTCAAGAAAGTCCGCAGCTTTCTCAACGTGCTTTCTAAGTTTGGGTCTATTAGATATAGACTCAAATATTGCTGGATCTTTATCGTCCTCAGGTATATCCTGAGAGGCTTCTGGTGTTCACATGACATTGGTGAGTTCTTTCGCCAACATTCCTCATTCCTTGATAGCTTCCCATAAAGGTCGCCTAGGCACATCATCATGGATGGCGCATATTTCTACCACATGGTTCCACAGAAGGTCTTCACCTTCTGGGTCCAACTGAACATCAGCGTTCACAAAGTCATAAGTGGGATGTGAGTCTTCACTTGTATCTGATTGATAGTAGTGTGAAAGGCTGTCAGCAACCTTGTTGGTGACTCCTTTAACATATTGGATATCAAAGTCAAATTGACTTCAATATTCCATCCATCTCATCTGATGATGAGATAGTTGTCTTTGAGTCTTGAAAAATTCAAGAGCTCGGTGGTTGGTAACAATATTTATTTGATTACCTATGAGTTTGTTCTCCCACTTGAGGAGGGCTTTGAGTATGGCAATTGTTTCCATCTTGAACACTCAATAGTTGTGTTGCGCGGATGTAAACTTCTTGGACATAAAGCCTGCCAGACAGCAGGTTTGCCAAGATTGGCCTTGTCCATACACTGCACCCACACCAGATGCTGAGGCATCACAGATAACCCAGATGGGTTCATCTATTGTAGGGTCTATAGGCCATAAGATCAGTGTCTTACAGGCCAAATTCTTTATATTATCCATACATGTCTGGTGTATGGGTCACCATTGGAATGGGTGACCATTCTTTTGGATCACTTGTAGCGGTCCTGTATACATGGATACATCTGGCATGAAATGTTCCAGATATTGTACAAGTCTGAGGAAGCGTTGCACGTCATGCTTGTTCCTCAGTGTACGCCACTCACAAACACAGGCCATTTTGTCCACATCTGCATGGATACCTCAGTCATTGATGATGTGGCCAAGACAATCCATTCGTTTGGAGTAACGATCACATTTCTTTGCCTCCAGGAAAAGTTGTGCTTTGTGCAGCTTATCAAATACGAGCCCGAGGTGTTCCTCATGCTCAGCTATAGAATTACTAAACATGAATATATCATCAAGATATACGTGTACAAATCTTCTGATGAATTCTCAGAACATTGTTGTCATTAGTCTCTGGAATGTAGCCAGGGCATTGCAGTCCCCTTGCTGCATTGTATGGCTCAGAAATGTGCCGTACACTGTGGAAAACATGGTTTTCCACATGTCTGATGGTTCTATGCATATTTGTTCATACGTGTCTGACATCTTGATCTTTGATTGATATCTCGCATGAGCAACATCATTCCTGATTCGCTCTTGGTTGGGAAAAGGAGTAACATCCTTTTCCATGTTGTCATTTCACTTTCTAGTGTCAATGACTGTTCGAAGACGTCCTGTCTTCTTTGGCATGCACAGCATTGGTGCTGCCTGAGGAACATTTACCTCCTCCCACCATCCAGACTTAGTATATCTCTGAATATTTTCAGAGAATTCCAGTTTCAAGGTGTCCGGGCAACGTGGGAGGTGGTAGTTGTACTTCATGTTCCCATCTATGAGGGGAATCTTATGATCCACCTCTCTTAATGGGGGCAACCTATTAGGTGCTCCTCCGAGAATGTCAGCTGCATTCTCCATCCACTGCTTGTGGAGATCAGGAAGAACTTCTTCCTCCTCCTTTAGCTTGTTTAGATTTGCATCCATTACGGCTAATAGGGCTTCTTTATTCTGGGAGGGTCCTTGATATTTATATAGGTCAGAGTGTAGCGTCAGTACACTATCCTCTCCAATTTCAGGCATCCTTGGACGCTTGAATTTCTTTCCAGTAAACACTGGTACATCCTTATGGGCGTTCTGTTTATTCATCTTCTCGTGTTTACGAGTAGTTTTAGTATCAATATGATCAAATACTATTTGTTCATCATCGCTGTCATCTTCCAATATATAAGTTGAGTCTTGGCTCAACTTCTGTTTGGTGTTCATTCACTGAACATCTTTGTCTTCTATCTCTTCAATCGTGATGGGACTCCATCTTGATTTTGTGGGCTCAACATTTGTTGAGTCGATTGTTTTGGCATGACCATGCAGTCATGTTCCTTTCTTTATTTTTCATGGTGAATCATTTCATATGATTCACACCATACCTGTGTAGGTATCTGATATCCGGTGAGTTCTTGGAACTCAATTGGATCTCGGACTGCAAGACTCTGAATCCATTCAGAGTCAAGTTCCTCCTCGTTGTAGGTGTATCCCATGCACAACAATTTGTTGCCCACCTTAGATGAGTACTTGCATCTTTTGACATCAATTTTTTCTCTGGGATGAGTCCAATTGGGCTCTTCCTGCGTCTTATGGTGCATATATATTTCTATCTGAGTATTCTCAGATAGAGTGAACAAAAGCTCATTTGGAGTCATGTCTGACAGTATATCCGTCAATTCTATTGAGGTATTTGTGCTCTCAACTGTGGTTGAGGTGCCATCGCTGACACTACTAATGTCTGCAACATCTTCAATGAGTTCTTCATCGGTATTTGCTCTCACAGCGCAGATGTAGACTACGTCTGCATCATCATCATCATCCTCTTTGACTTTGATGTACTCTTCGTACTCGTTAAGGGGATAATCATCTCAATCTGACTCATATTGTGATCCCTGTGGATCACTATGATCTTCATTGTACTTAACTGCGGATTCTTCAGGAAGACTATGTTGTTCCTGTTCTTCATCTACTTCAACTGATGGAGACTCTGTGTCTTCATCAATCACTTGGGCCACAAATACTCACGGTCAGTCAGGACAATTGTTCACATAGTGTCCTTGGCAATGGCAAATATAACATTCCACTTGATCTAGTGGAATGGGTTTCTTACCCAAAAAATCATTCTTCGGTTTATGGTTAAAATTATGGGGGCAGGGCGTACTCTGCCTTGCTCCAGGTTTGGGGGCATTGTGCCCACCGCTACTGCTAGGGCGATAGTTAGTTTTGGGCTGGCTCTTTACAGGAGTTGCCTCTTGATTACTCTGGAAGTTCTGACTAGGAAAATTTCCAGAGTTTCATTTAACGAATTGTACTACTCGAGTAGTGCAATTATTCAAAGTGCTCTGTTGGGGAGTATGGGTACTCCCAGTACTTTTAGGGACGTTCAATTGCTCAGATCGTTCATTCCTATAATTATGGTAAGCTTGGATGGAACTTTCCATCGCCTTTCCTTTGCGCAGTAATTTGAACAGCAAAGTATGCTCAGCCAAGACTTGTCTCGACTTGAGGAGGTTCTCCACCAGATCATAAGGAAGTCCTTCAAGGAACTTCCTCTTCATGGAGTGCTCGTCTGGAGTTTGCACCATGTGACTTGCATGGCGCTGCAAATCATTGAAGAATGCTAAGGCACCCTTTGATTGAGAGAACTTTGTTCTCTTATAACTGTTGGCAGCATTTTGTGCTGTCACTTCATGTATAAATCATTTATACATGGCGCAGATTAGATCTTTGAAATACCCTGTAAGTTATACTCCTCCACATGTTGCTAGGGAGTCCTCAAGGACTCCCATAGTCCTTGAGGACTCCTTGTGGACTCCTTGGGTAAACTACTGGGAGGCTCCCTGGGGACTCTGTGGGGACTCCACAAGGACTTCATGTGGACCTTGTGACTTGGGACTTTTGCAAGTCAGAAACAAATACAACATGGGGAATAGAACCCCAGACCACTGCACTTATGATGAGATAAGCACTGTTTTTTTCAAGCAGCACAACCACTCTGCCATGATGGCTTAAATATATATGGCAGTTAGCACCCGATAATGGCATGAGAGTTGCCATATAAGGTTCTAGATATAAGGAGGGTGTTTTTGACAAACATAAAATGTTATCCAAAATGAATGATATGGTAATCCCAGATACATATTGTTGAGTAGATTCCAAATCTGGTGCTACAAATTCAATACCTTTCCTAATTTGGCAGTAGTACCCAAAATGGTTTTGAAAAGCCTGCACGGTGAAAAAGTCAAAGTTGTCCAATTTGGATGGTTCAACCTGTACCATGTGTGAAATTTTGAGGAGAGTCAGAATATCAAGGTCCCAGGTCCTGATTCATCCTGTGCATCCTGCTATACCCAAAATGGTGTGGGGACACCAGGATGGGGTCAGGTGACCATCTCTGATTGGGTTGGTTCAAATTGCATCTAGACTGGTTTTTCAAGAAGATTCCAAATCTGAAGAGGGAAATTTTTATTTCTTTAAAAAGAAATTATTAGAAGGGACATACAAAATAGTCTTTAAAAGTGATATGGAATGTGAAACTTGTAAATAACATTCTACAAAGCCTTTCTACCACTATTTTGTATGTCCCTTCATCAATACTGTGAATTTCTCTATGATTGGTTTTGATTCATACTTTGCACATACTATGGAGTGTGTTTCATGCCTGTGCCTCAAGATTGCTAATGGGATGCAATTATTTCAAACAAAATGGTAAAAAGTGCTTGATTTGGTTATATCACAACAACCAGACCAAAATATGTCAAAGCCTCTTTTGGAATGTGATGCAGTACTTACATTTTTATTGGTTGGAACATCTGCTATGGCTGAATCCAGTTTTGCTCACATTGTTTTTCAGAAATATGAACTTAGCAGGCCACACAGGTGGAATGTAATGATTCTGATTTCAGATTCAGAATCTCCTCAAAATTTGAACTCAGGAAACACATAGACCTACATATGTGGTGTCACTTTGAGTCAACCCTATTCTAGGGTTAGAATATTGAAACATCCATAGCAAGGGTAACAGGCCAGATATGAAGATACCCTCTTCAGATCCTGAATCTGCTCATCAAATAGGCCCAGATGATATATGGTTTATGTCATTCAGAGGAGGTAACTCAACCCCATCCTGGTGTTCCAAATTGATTTGCCTGTAGCATTGGTTACAGGTCAGCTATGAAGATTTTGTGTCCAGATTCTGAATCTCCTCAAAAACCAGCCTAGACACAGGTTAAACCACTCCATTTGGATGAGGTCATCTAACTCTCATTTCAGCCACCATCAATTGATCTGGCCATATTGAGTGCTGTAGTGAGAATCTCATGTTTCTCTGTTCAGATATGGATTCTCTTCAAAAAACTGATCTAGACACAAGTCAAACCATTCCATTTGGAGGAGGTCACCCAACCCTCTTTTCAGCCACCATCACTGATCTAGCCATATTGGGAGTTATATTGAGAATTTCATGTTTCTCTGTTCAGACATAT